TACATGGGGAGGCTAGATTATTTACAGCTTACAGCAATATAGTGCAAATATTATGTTCAATAAAAGAAAACGTTGATAAATCTATAACACACTTTTTGTACTATTAAACCAACTGTGGACTTTTAAGACATTTTCGCTTATTGTAATAACATCTAGCTAACCAATCATGTCTATCTCTGAAATCCACAAGCATAGTTGCTGTCAAACCTAAAAAACATATTCAGGGAGGTCAGTTTTGACTTGCCAAGCACCTTAAGGTGAGTTTATTTTTAAACTGTCAAAAGCGATTGTCCCTTCAATACTAGTATATGTCTGGAATCTGTCTCTCGGACTGTTATGAGTTATGATGTATTTTATGATATAACTGGGGAATGTTCAAATTAGTTACTGTCATTTAATCCAACGTTCTAACTGTCAACTGTCTCAACAGGATCATAGGTTTGGTTATATATCTCCTCCCTGTCTCTATGTCTTAAGTTGTTAATCGGTAACTGCGGTCCAAATGTATCAACTTATTCATCTATTGTTGCAAACTTGACTGATTTAAACATATCTTATTGATCATGAACTACTCAGTCAGTCAAGCACCTGTATCAGAAATGTAAAACCAGCCATGTTTCATGTAGTCCCAATATCACTGAAAAATGCCGATGTAACGTGACATATAAATTTACTCACAGACAATATATTTTTCGTGAGAGTGAAGCACAATTTTATTAAAGTTTTATTAACAGTTTCATAAACTATAATAATATTAATATTAATATTAAAATTCATCATCACTTGCCAAGTTTATGAAAATGTCCCCATTTGGGAGATGTCACATATAAACAAAGATTCGAACTAAGTTTGATCGTCTTTGACACTGAGGTTTATCCCCACTTTGCCAGCAAACTGCAGAAGATTAACAGTGAGTGAGTGAGCATCGTTTCTATGTTTATACAAGAAAAGATGTCATGCCAAAAACGCTCACAGTAGTTAGTGAGTAAACTCACGACCTGTCATGACCTGGTTGAGTGACTTCCTCCAATCAACGTGAAAGGATTACCCACAGAGAAAGAAAGGATTAAAGTCACCCATAAATCTTATCCTAACGTAGTACTCCAACTTCTAAATGCCTCTCAAAGAAGGATTAAAATCCTAAAGATATCCTATCTATGTGGTATAGGTACTCACAATCTCTAATAATAAACTGTTACATTTGGTATCCCCAGCAATACTCACTATGGTCATTGGGCAAATGTAAAAATCACAAACCCTAACGAGATTCTGTCTACATGGTCACACCCGGTGATTGTGAAGATCTCAAATTCAATCAACTGTCAGACAGCATGGCTGTGCATATTCATTTACAACATCCTCTTATAATTAGTATAAAAGTGTCCCACACAAAACCTTCTTTTATTTATTTTTCAAAATACAACACAGAAAGTGGGGTGTGGGGAAATGGGACATATTCCTACGTGAAATAAAGAGACATTAGTAGTGGTGACGGCTATGTCATAATTGTACTGTCTAAAGCATAAATTTGGCGAACGAAAAACGTTATAATTGCAATCAAATGGAATGACTCGTGTGGGCAAATGAATATGTTCTCAATCCACAAACAATTATTTTATTAATGGCGAACATTTACCAACCCGTGACAATCGTGTCAACACGGGGGTTCCCCTAGCAATAAACTCGCATCTAAATTCACTACTGTTCTACTGTCGGCTAGCCACAATGGCTAGACTGGACCCTAGTGGAATGGTTCATGCCATAAAAGTCTAGCAACCGAACACTAATTAAGATGGGCCGACCTTGTATTTATGGTCTGGTGAACACAGCTCAATGGCCGCTCATTAACTCAAATTTCACATCTCACTGTTTTGTTTTATCTCACTATTCATTTGATAAATTTGTTAACTTCAACTGGAACCCGGTCCCGTGTTACACGCGTGGCACACGCGTGTGCAACGGGTTGCACACGCGATGCACACCCGTTGCACACCCGTGTCCAACGGGTGCTCACCCCGTGTGCAACCCGTTGAGCACCCGTGTCACATGCGTGTTACACGCGTTCACAACGCGTGTTAGGGGAATGAACTTTTAGGCAGTAGTGTAAGAATGCTGGATTCTGATTGGTCAAAGTAGGATCAAAATCAGGTATCTAATTCCATTAGATACCTCTAAAGTAACAAACCCTTTCACACTAAACCTTGCAGATGAATCTGTAAATCGTGAAATTAATACATCAAACCCAAACTGCGACTTGATATGAATACGACACTACCCCTTCTCTCACCTACTTACTTTAATTGGGAATGTTAAGTAAGTAGGTAAGGGAATTTAAAGTGCGCCCTCCGACAAAGGCATATTCCGCGCACAGGCCCGCCAGGCCATTTAGTGTTCGAAAAGGGTATGTCCTACATATATATGCATGAAACAATTAAATAGCCTACATATAGATGCATGAAACCATGGACAGCCTACATATAGATCCATGAAATGATGGATAGCCTACATATAGATGCATGAAACAATGGATAGCCTACATATTGATGCATGAAACAATGGATAGCCTACATATAGATGCATGAAATGATGGATAGCCTACATATAGATGCATGAAACAATAGATAGCCTACATATAGATAAATGAAACAATAGATAGCCTACATATAGATGCATGAAACAATAGATAGCCTACATATAGATGCATGAAACAATGGATAGCCTACATATAGATGCATGAAACAATAGATAGCCTACATATAGATGCATGATACAATGGATAGCCTACATATAGATAATTGAAACAATGGATAGCCTACATATAGATGCATGAAACAATGGATAACCTACATATAGATGCATGAAACAATAGTTGGCCTACATATAGATACATGAAACACTAGATAGCCTACATATAGATGCATTAAACAATGGATAGCCTACATATAGATGCATGAAACAATAGATAGCCTACATATAGATGCATGAAACAATGGATAGCCTACATATAGATGCATGAAACAATAGATAGCCTACATATAGATGCATGAAACAATAGATAGCCTACATATAGATGCATGAAACAATAGATAGCCTACATATGGATGGATGAAACAATAGATAACCTACATATAGATGCATGAAACAATGGGTAGCCTACATATAGATGCATGAATCAATAGATAGCCTACATATAGATGCATGAAACTCACACAAAAAAAGAGAATGTTATGCGCAGAAAGAATTACACCTACCGTACCCCTTCACCGAATTCCGGTAAACGAACGGGTGATGAGAAACTTGGTCAGTACAAATTTGAAATTTGAGATAAAAAATCACCATGTTGATTTACAGATTAAAATGTATTTTTTCTCCTACTAGGCATTGTTTTACATCCAGGGATTAAAATACACAGCTATACACACGTTTTCTTGGAATCTACCGGTGATTCGGTTAAGACACACCCAATTAATCATATAACTTTACAGGATTTTAATGCAAGGATCGGCAAAAATTGTATATGAAACTATTTTTTTATCAGGAATAATATATTCCAATATCTTCTTATTTTAGTTGCAGCTTTTACTAATTATATTTAAAATAATTATAACCCTAAGCGAAGCAGCTGATCGCTATTGCCCGTTATCATTTTTCACATGGAACCAGTTTGACCAGTCACCGTCCAGGCTCCTGCGCAAGTGATCGCGAGAATGACGTGTTGACATAGAATTGTCAAACTGTTACAAATGTGAATTTTAACGAGTCAAAGTATGGCATTTATGATATATGAATCCATTCTCTGTCAACTAAAGTTTGTTTCAAGGAGTCAATAGCGGTAATCTGACCGTGGTTGCTGTTTCACCGAAATTAATTAAAGCAATATTAAAAGGAATTTTTAATAAAATTTATGAAATAAGTTACAAACATGAGTCCAGATATACATAGAACACTTTTTATAGCCAGACAGTGTAATTACATAATTAATTTGCATACTTCAGTATGGATTTGTTGACATGGTATTTCCGGTGTTACGTGCTCACTGTAATGTCTTTCCGTTGGGGGAAAAAAACATCAAAATGCACTATAGTCACGAAAATACAGTACTCACTCACTCTCAACTATATCGCTCTCTGCTCCATATCACTCACTCACTCCTCTCAACCATATCACTCATCTCCTACATAAAGCTCACTCACTCACTCTCAACCATATCACTCATCTCCTACATAACACTCACTCACTCACTCACTCTCCACCATATCGCTCTCTCCTCCATATCACTGACTCACTGACTCACTTGCTCACTCTCCACCATATCGCTCTCTCCTCCATATCGCTCACTCTCCACCATATCGCTCTCTCCTCCACATCACTCACTCACTCGCTCACTCTCCACCATATCGCTCTCTCCTCCATATCACTCACTCACTCACTCACTCGCTCACTCTCCACCATATTGCTCTCTCCTCCATATCACTCACTCACTCACTCACTCGCTAGGGGCGGTCGGGTAGCCTAGTGGTTAAAGCGTTCGCTCGTCACGCCGAAGACCCGGGTTCGATTCCCGACATGGGTACAATGTGTGAAGCCCATTTCTGGTGTCCCCCGCCGTGATATTGCTGGAATATTGCTAAAAGCGGCGTAAAACCTCACTTACTCACTCACTCGCTTACTCTCCACCATATCGCTCTCTCCTCCATATCACTCACTCACTCACTCGCTCACTCTCCACCATATCGCTCTCTCCTCCATATCACTCACTCACTCGCTCACTGTCCACCATATTGCTCTCTCCTCCATATCACTCACTCACTCACTCACTCGCTCACTCTCCACCATATTGCTCTCTCCTCCATATCACTCACTCGCTCACTCTCCACCATATTGCTCTCTCCTCCATATCACTCACTCACTCAATCACTCGCTCACTCTCCACCATATCACTCTCTCCTCCATATCACTCACTCACTCACTCACTCACTCACTCACTCACTCTCCACCAGAGCCGGAGAGACTTCCTGCAGCTCATGCTTAACTCCCACAAGCTGGAGGTGAAACAGGAGGAGAAGGACTCCGATTCCTACGTGGAGATGGACAAGTCATTGAGAAGAGGTGAGCTATGCAGAGGAGATATAAGGAGGAGTTTCAAATGTTTGTTTGTTGTTTAACACCGCACTCAGCAGTATTCCAGCTATATGATGGCCATCTGTAAATAATCGAGTCTTGACAAGACAATCCAGTGATTGATGTCATAAGCATCGATCCTCGAAACTGGGATACGATGACATGCATCAACCTGACTTTCAGATGTCTGTCCCAGGTAAATAGGTAGTGTAGACTTTCAGATGTCTGTCCAAGGTGAATAGATAGTGTAGACTTTCAGATGTCTGTCCAAGGTGAATAGGTAGTGTAGACTTTCAGATGTCTGTCCCAGGTAAATAGGTAGTGAAGACTTTCAGTTGTCTGTCCAAGGTGAATAGGTAGTGTAGACGTTCAGTTGTCTGTCAAAGGTAAATAGATAGTGTAGACTTTCAGATGTCTGTCTAAGGTAAATAGATAGTGTAGACTTTCAGATGTCTGTCCAAGGTAAATAGATAGTGTAGACTTTCAGATGTCTGTCCAAGGTAAATAGATAGTGTAGACTTTCAGATGTCTGTCCAAGGTAAATAGATAGTGTAGACTTTCAGATGTCTGTCCAAGGTAAATAAGTAGTGTAGACTTTCAGATGTCTGTCCAAGGTAAATAGGTAGTGAAGACTTTCAGATGTCTGTCCAAGGAAAATAGATAGTGTAGACTTGCAGATGTCTGTCAAAGGTAAATAGATAGTGTAGCTGGATGATTGTGTGTCCCTTCACCCTGTCAGTGTAGACTGTCTCAGACCTGGATGATTGTGTGTCCCTGCACCCTGTCAGTGTGGATTGTCTCAGACCTGGATGATTGTGTGTCCCTGCAACCTGTCAGTGTGGATTGTCTCAGACCTGGATGATTGTGTGTCACCTACACCCTGTCAGCATGGACTGTCTCAGACCTGGATGATTGTGTGTCCCTGCACCCTGTCAGTGTGGACTGTCTCAGACCTGGATGATTGTGTGTCCCAGCACCCTGTCAGTGTGGACTGTCTGAGACCTGGTTGATTGTGTGTCCCTGCACCCTGTCAGTGTGGACTGTCTGAGACCTGGTTGATTGTGTGTCCCTGCACCCTGTCAGTGTGGACTGTCTCAGACCTGGATGATTGTGTGTCCCAGCACCCTGTCAGCGTGGACTGTCTGAGACCTGGTTGATTGTGTGTCCCTGCACCCTGTCAGTGTGGACTGTCTGAGACCAGGATGATTGTGTGTCCCTGCACCCTGTCAGTGTAGACTGTCTCAGCCCTCGATGATTGTGTGTCCCTGCACCCTGTCAGTGTGGACTGTCTGAGACCTGGATGATTGTGTGTCCCTGCACCCTGTCAGTGTAGACTGTCTCAGACATGGATGATTGTGTGTCCCTGCACCCTGTCAGTGTAGACTGTCTCAGACATGGATGATTGTGTGTCCCTGCACCCTGTCAGTGTGGACTGTCTCAGCCCTCGATGATTGTGTGTCCCTGCACCCTGTCAGTGTAGACTGTCTCAGACATGGATGATTGTGTGTCCCTGCACCCTGTCAGTGTGGACTGTCTGAGACCAGGATGATTGTGTGTCCCTGCACCTTGTCAGTGTGGACTGTCTGAGACATGGATGATTGTGTGTCCCTGCACCTTGTCAGTGTGGACTGTCTCAGACATGGATGATTGTGTGTCCCTGCACCTTGTCAGTGTAGACTGTCTCAGACATGGATGATTGTGTGTCCCTGCACCCTGTCAGTGTAGACTGTCTCAGACATGGATGATTGTGTATCACTGCACCCTGTCAGTGTGGACTGTCTCGAGACCTGGATGATTGTGTGTCCCTGCACCCTGTCAGTGTCGACTGTCTCAGACCTGGATGATTGTGTGTCACTGCTCCCTGTGAGTGTGGACTGTCTCAGACCTGGATGATTGTGTGTCCCTGCACCCTGTCAGTGTAGACTGTCTCTCATGCAGTCAGCAGTTTCTTTGCCAGACCCGGTCTGAATTATTTACACGCTGTCATGATGATTGCAAATGGCTTCCTGTGGCATTAAACAGATTCACGCAATCACTCTATTACATAATAATGAACTACAAAATGTACAACAAAATGTAGGATGATATTTTTACTTTTTCCCAAAGGCATGACAAACGATGAGATTCTGGGCAATGCTGTCCTGTTTCTTACTGCTGGATATGAAACTACGAACCTGACTTTGGCGTATTTCGCCTACAACCTTGCAACCAACCAGGACTGCCAGGACAAACTGATAGAGGAGATTGACCGCGTTCTCAATGGGGTAATTAACAGTTTGGTTTAATTTCACATTATGTTGATGGTAGTGACTATTATGTGTTCAAAACCAGAGAAGTTTTTATTCAAATTCACAGGGACCATTTCATCAAATTTTTTATGTCACCTATCAGCTGATATTTGTAAGTCATGCCTGAAGCTCTGGTGGGGCCTGACAGTGTGATCCATTTTTTGTTGTGTAGTCATCAATGTGATTTTGTAGCTAGTTATTTTGTTTTAAAGTCTTATTCATGTGAACCACAAGGCAAAGAAAGCTGGAATTTTTTTCAAAAGGCAATCATAATCAGCCTTCTACTCAGGTGGAGCAGACGATGGTGCTTAACTACTTCTCTCTTTTGGGTTCACATGACTGAGATATGCCTTGACATGACTGAAACTTTTACATTGTCCACTTTTCCTCTGGAACTGCTAGGTCGATGAAGCATGAACGATCCCAGCTGCACTGTCTCTAATTTGATCTCAAGATCCTAATTTGAAATGTCATCTTTGCAAATTACTCATCCTTTTCTGCGTTTATCACTGCAAGTATGCAGAGTAACATATAGTATTTTGGGGAGGCATTTTTTGCATGAAAGCGCCGTTTAATGTTCTCACAAAATTTTGATGCGATGTTATACATGGCTTCCAAGTGCGTTTTTTAAAGTTACTTTGATCCCATTTTGCAGCAGCCCCCAGATTACGAGAGCATGTCAAAGTTGGAATACCTGGACGGTGCCTACCTGGAAACTCTGCGACTCTTCCCACCAGCTATAAGGTAGTCATCGGTACACGCACGCACGCATGCATCAGATTGTCTGGTCCAGACTTGATTATAAACAGACCTCCTTAAAAAATGCTGGAATATTACTGAGTGCGCTGTTAAACAACAAACAACTAACAAATACACAGTTACCAGTGACACCGAACTTCAGATGTTTACAAGTTAGCTCGGCCCCACAATCACTTGTGGAATGTTTCGACTCACGTGATTAAACTGAAGCAAATAATTATTAAAATCCTAATCTAAATCCTTCTTATTGCTGCATGAAATATCCTGTCTTATGTTCCCTGCAATGGAAATAACATTTTTCCCGACTTCAGAACACTCAGTCTTTCACAAAGAAGTAATTAATAAATGCTTCTGTTATCTTACTCCACACACTCGATACTTCTCGGATATCAGGGGCAGCAGGGTAGCCAAGTGGTTAAAGTGTTCGCTCTTCATGCTGAAGACCCAGGTTCGATTCCCCTCATGGGTACCATGTGTGAAGCCCATTACTGGTGAGCTCCGCCGTGATATTGCTGGAATATTGCTGAAAGTGGTTTAAGACTATACCCACTCTCACTCACTCACTCACTGTTGAATTTCAAGAGTAGCAGAACAGGATGTCATGATAGGTGTGATTCGAGTCTGATTAGGGTTGTAACTGTTAATATGAGGATTGGTGATATAATCTCAAGATATGTTTCAGATATCTTATCATACATGCTTGGCTATTCTAGGATGTCCAGACTAACAGAAGAGGATATCACGATTAACGGTGTCCTCTTCAAGAAAGGAGTTGAAGTGCACATTCCTATTGGTGCCATACATAAAGATCCTGAAAATTGGCCTGATCCAGAGACTTACAACCCAGAGAGGTAAAATAATTATCGTGTTCATTTCAGTTGGCAGTGGTCAAACATTCAATAACTCCTTTTGAAGAGTTGTGAGGTTTGCCTTGTTTTCATTATGAGTCTAGATATATTATTATTATTTACAGATTAAAATGAAAAATACAGCAAAGAGGGTTTAGGTGATCCTGGCACAGTCAGTCTGGTTAGGCTCATCATATGCTCAGGGCCCTTGCCTCCTCTACAGGCAGTACATACAGCTAATGGGACTTCTCCCAGGAAGTGCTGCCAAGTCAAACCCACCCAGAACGTTTCGGAGAATGTGAAGACTCCCCAACACTGCAGCCTTCTGCATTACACAGATTGTCATTAAGGGCTATATTCCTCGTAGCAAACCCTGGTACTCTCCCAATGTCAGTCAACAGATTGGGAGGTACCAAACCTAAGGCATCGAGACCAATGGGGAGTCAGACAACTTGGTACTTGGGATGCAAGCGTGACATTTCGAAAGAGAGGTCCACATTTTGGCCATGTTTATCCTGATTCTTGTCAATCACAGTAGTGTCAAAAGGGACAGAAAATTCAATGGCATTAAAGGATTAATTGGATTTATCAAATAGATCAAGATCAGGTTTGTTTGCCTGGATACGTCTGAGAATGTATACAGGCATATTCCAAAGAATTTTGTATTGATCATTTTCCATGATGCCCTCTACATATTCCGGGTCGTACAATGGATGGGCCGCTGTGTCAAAACCACAAGCATTGCGAAGATGGTAATAAAATGATCGAGCCACTTCATCATGTCGCTTAAGATATTGTGTTTGGGCCAAAGCTGGGCATCCACTGACAATGTGTTGGATTGTCTCATTAAATCAATTGCATAATCTACAGACCCGTGAAGATTCCAGGGTAGAATAGGTCTTCAGCAACCCATGCTTGCCGTAAAAGGTGACTATGCTTGTCGTAAAAGGCGACTAACGGGATCGGGTGGTCAGGCTTGCTTACTTGGTTGATGCATGTCATCGATCCCAATTGCATGGATCGATGCTCATGATATTAATCACTGGATTGTCTGGTCCAGACTCGATTATTTACAGACCGCCGTCATATAGCTGGAATATTGCTGAGTGCGGCGTTAAACAACAAACCAACCAACCAAAAAAGCATAATCTACATTTCATATTTACATTTTGATGCAAAATGACACATTGACGGTTTCAAGTGGGAAGTGACTGGTCCTGAGCAGCAAACAGAAAGCCTTCTGTTTCACTTTTCAGGCTAGCTGACTTCTTCCAAACGAATGACTCTGCAGGGTTGCTGATCTTCACAACACACTGCATATAAACTCGATGCAGTGGTCGTTCATATAGCCTCTCCTTGAAAAACTGAATCTGGGCCGATTTGATATGGCACTTTGCTTGGTTGACACTCATTTCTGTACCATCCAGCAGTACAGAACCATCAACTAAATCAACACCCACATTGAGATTATGTCCCACATCCTTGGCTCGTTTTAGAAAACTCTGGAATGCCTTGTTTTCATCTTGAGTCTTGACATGCTTCACAAGGGGATCATCAGACAAATCAATGAGTGCAAAAGTGCTCAAAACAATTCTATCATGAAGAGCCCCCACATTAATCAAACCATGCCCTCCCATCTTATTATTATTTTTATTATTATTTTGTAGGTTTCGTCCAGAGAATCGCCCGGAGAATTACAACTATGTGTTCCTGCCGTTTGGAGCTGGTCCTCGGAACTGCATCGGGATGAGGCTTGCTCACCAGACAGTCAAGATGGCCATTGCAGGAATTCTCCAGAAGTACCGCTTTGTCCCCGGTCCAGAAACAAAGGTAGCAGTCTCCTTGACTCCAGATTTGAATTAATCTTTACATTTATACTGACTGATAGGACAAATGTTGGAAATTCTGAGTCATACCATAGATTTGTGGTTATGTAGACAAAGTGTTCAACCTTGGAGCAGAATGTTTTGGTTTGAATCTCATCACGAGACTTTGCATTGGCCCCCATCTTGGGGCTGAACATGTTCATATTAAATGTGAGCAGAACATTTCTCAGTACCCTACCCTGCGACCAGTCACGTAGATGTTGACGGAATTGGACATGGATTCATCTGACAGGTGACATCCTTACCTTGTCAGCTTGCTTCAGTCATGTGGAGAAGACATCCATTATCTGTTCAATCCTACCATGGGACTGCTACACTGATGTAGCTGGAATATTGCTGACCCACTCCTTGTATGGCTGAGGATCAGGCACCAGTGGATGAGGAAACAGTTCACTGTGTGGAGTTGCGTCCCACATCTTTGTCTGCCTGTGTGAGAACCAGGATTTGATGTGGCTGTGAAGAGAAAACTGCTGACAGTGTTTTTCTTTCTTTCATACAGATACCTCCAGAGACAAATGCCTTTGAACCAAAGCCATTGGATGGAATGATGCTGAGAATTGAGAAAAGATAAAAGGAGAAGTCACTCCATTTCACTCATGAAAGGGAGATCACTCTGATATACATACAAGAGAACAAACTCTTCCATTTTGATCCTATAGGGACATCACTCTTTTCTTCTTCAAAGGGAGATCACTCTGATTTTGTCATGAAAGGGAGCAAACTCTATTGATTAAGAGGCTTTTCTTACATTGATTCATTCATCAAAGGGAGGGTTACTCTGATTCATTTGTAAGAGGGAGGTAATCTGATTCATACATCAGCTGATTCTTAAGTGACATGAGCGTCCTTCTGTCATGGTCATGAGGGGCGGTCGGGTAGCCTAGTGGTTAAAGCGTTCGCTCGTCACGCCCAAGACCCGGGTTCGATTCCCGACATGGGTACAATGTGTGAAGCCCATTTCTGGTGTCCCCCGCCGTGATATTGCTGGAATATTGCTAAAAGCGGCGTAAAACCATACTCACTCACTCACTCACTCACTCACTAACTCATGGTCATGAAAGTTAATTTCATATTGCACAGTTTAAGTCAAATTGGTATATGTAAATATGAGGCTACTGAAGTAAAAATGTAAATACCATGGACTTTTGAGCCATGTCATTCCCAGTTTAGTCAACCCTGCCTTCATTAATACTGCAGCTTCTAAAATGTCCCTTAAATAGTTGTCAGATGTGTAAAGGTTTGTGAAATCATTTACACTGCCAATACGATGTACAAATGTTAAGGATCCCGTGAAGATTCTGGGGTAGAATAGGTCTTCAGCAACCCATGCTTGCCGTAAAAGGTGACTATGCTTGTCGTAAAAGGCGACTAAAGGGATCGGGTGGTCAGGCTCGCTGACTTGGTTGATGCAGGTCATCGATCCCAATTACGTGGATCGATGCTCATGATGTTAAAGACTGGATTGTCTGGTCCAGACTTGATTATATACACACCGCCGTCATATGGCTGGAATATTGCTGAGTGCGGCGTTAAACAACAAACCAACAACAACAACAACAAATGTTAAGGATCATGGGAAATATTGCCCTATGCATTGTGTGATGCCAAAATACTGTTCAAGCATTAATATTATTTACAGATTCAAATATAAAATGCATCAAAGAGGGTTTAGGTGATGCAGCCTGAGTCAGGCTGGTTGGGCTCATCATCAGCTCAGGGCCCTGGCCCCCTCTACATGCAGCCCAGACAGCGAATGGGACTTCTCCCAGGAAGTGCCTCCTAGTCAAACCCACCAAGAACATTATTATTATAACAACTATATTCTTGTAACCAGATCTTACAATTCCTATGCAACATGACACAGTGATATCACAGATAATGCTTCCTACCAAATTGTGCCGAGACATCTGATGGTGCTTCACATATTCACTCACAAATCTGAAGCCTTGTTTGCTGACATTGTAACTACAAAAGTTATTAATTATCAGCAACTGTCCTTTTCTACGGGTTAATTCACACTGACTATGTGATCCGATGTAGTCTTTGATAGTCTTTTAGGGGCGGTCGGGTAGCCTTGTGGTTAAAGCGTTGGCTCGTCACGCCGAAGACCCGTGTTCGATTCCCGACATGGGGACAATGTGTGAAGCCCATTTCTGGTGTCCCCCGCCGTGATGTTTCTGGAATGTTGCTAAAAGCAGCGTAAAATTAAACTCAGTCAGGCTGATAGTCATTTATAGAAGTTGGAAGAACATGAACACTGGACACTTTTTATGGATAGCACCTTCTTTTGTTCTTTCATTCTCCGAGCTACTTCTTGCTCCTTCATCAGGTGATGTAGCTCGGAAACGTCTTGACAAAGAATAAAAGAAGTTGCTATCATGATTTTGATGTAAACATAAGATGTAAGAGTGATGTCTAAAGTAAATGTGAAATGTGAGACTGCACCAGAATATACAGACATGTGTATAGATATATGACAGGCTATTGTGATATAGAGCAATATTGTGTTTTATTTATATGGAATTGTGTTTTCTTGACTTTTATTTTATTAAAGTAGACTTGTCTGCATTCAATCATAATATATTTTGTGAAGGGGATCCATGTGATTTGAAACCTCATAACCTGTTTCAGGAATCGCCAGTTATTAAAGGATATCAAATTTATAATGTGGCTACTTTGTGTCAGATGACAACTTGTACTCCACTACTGGTACTCCACTATGAAAAGGTCCCGAGATCATCTTGATCGTGTTCCACTGACTTGAGTTGTTGCTCATACTTTCACTCACTTGTTTACCTGTCCAGGCTGCTATGATGGAGATGATGTAGAGCTAGTCCTCCAGACCTCGCCACCAGCCAGAAATATTATAATTTTATCATTGTTTTGATTATTTGTAGGGGCGGTGGGTAGCCTAGTGGTTAAAGCGTTTGCTCTCCACGCCGAAAACCCGGTTTTGATTCCCGACATGGGTACAATGTGTGAAGCCCATTTCTTGTGTCCCCGGCCGTGATATTGCTGGAATATTGCTCAAAGCGGCGTAAAACCATAATCGATTTTTTGTTTCGTTTATGTTTCAACTTGTGTTGATAAACTAGTATTTTGGGGTGAGGGTTAGATTCTCTTTACAAATATACAAATACATGTGTATTTACACCCTTCAGACTCCCTGGTTGGAACATGTCCTATTCAACTTTTGATAGGGACAATGACATACGTCTAGGATTTTATCCAAAAAATAGTGTCATTATTGTCCACAATAATTCTTCAACAGAAAATAATTATGCTTCACACAGTTGAAAAAAATGAAATTGCCTGCCACAAAAATTACATTCGTGCAAGGTGTTTTTCTGTAGAACGAATTCAGGCTCATAGTTATAAATATAAAATATCTGGTTTTGTAGCAGTTGCTGAAAAAATATTTAATCACCATTCAAAATCCCAAGTCCTCCTCCGCCCGCCCTGTATATTGATGTTTGTCATTGTCTGACTATGTCTTTGATGCAGCTTTTCTGATATTACAGCAATACATATAATAATTTTATCGTTGCTTTGATTATTTGTTTCGTTCACATTTGTTGTTTAAATCCACACTCATCAATATTCAAGCTATGACGTTGGGCGTTTGTGTTATTATATTGCCATTATTCTTTTGGCAGTTTACATTTTCTGCGTCACGTCTTCTGTCAGTGAAGATAAGAAAGGTGAGGTAAAATGGGGTTTAACGTGTATTAAAGATTACAGCACTAATAGGGGCGGTCGGGCAGCCTAGTGATTAAAGCGTTCGCTCGTCACGCCAAAGACCCGGGTTCAATTCCCATCATGGGTACAATGTGTGAAGCCCATTCCTGGTGTCCCCCAACGTAGTATTGCTGGAATATTGCTAAAAGGGGTAAAACCATACTCACTCACTACAGCACGTACATGTGTGTTTTTTACTACCTGATTCCTGTTGATTCCTAGTTTTAGGTAAATCCTAATTATATATTAATGGCTTTTTCAATGAAACATGTGATTCTTTTTTATACCCACTGTACACATCGCAGGTGAATCAGGTGTTCAGATTGTGCCTTGGCTGATTGGCGCTATTGTACTGGGTGGCTCTGATTGTGACCCGTGAAGATCCAGGTCAGAAAAGGTCTTCAGCAACCCATGCTTGTCGTAAGAGGCGACTTACACGATCGGGTGGTCAGGCTCGCTGACTGGGTTGATGCATGTCATCGACCCCAATTTCATGGATCGATGCTCATGTTGTCAATCACTGGATTGTCTGGTCCAGACTTGATTATTTACAGACCGCCGTCATATAGCTGGAATATTGCTGAGTGCAGGGTTAAACAACAAACAAACAAAGCTTAGATTGTTTGATCATGCCTGCATTTGACAACTTGTGGCTGCCAAAACTCATCATGCAGCTATGAACCTGCAGGTTATATAATCACAGGTGACTTCTCTATTGTTGACAATAACAACCTTGAGCAGCCTCCTACCAATGGGATCACAACTTTAAAATCATTATGGATGCTGTCGAAGAATATGCCAAAAATGGGCCAAAAGAGAAGAGGAACCTGTTGAATGTCTTTCAGAGTGGGTGAAGTCAGTGCATGATGTTGTCATTGGTAGAATGAACAATTTTAAAAAGAGGAAATGGAATTGGAATAAACCCATTCTGTCCCAGCTAGCTGTTATCCAAAGTCTGGCTGCCCTACATGAAAAGTTTGAAGTTGTTCCCACTGACAATGCCTCAAATAACATAACCATTATATGTATTACTTCATGAATTGTTTGATCAAAGAACTTGGTATAAGTGACAAATCAAATAATGCCACATATAAGGCCAGTATGTTAACTGAAGAAGAAATCTGCCAAAACCATGCATCAGTACTGTCCACTTTTGACTTGACTCTAAAACCTGAAGACATGTCCATTCCTCTTTTGTACTTGATTCCAAAGCTCCATACAAATCTGTACAAAGAGAGATATATTGCTGTGTCCAGCAAATGTGCCACCAAACCCCTGTCTCAAAGACTGACCATAATCCTTTATACAGAAAGTTTCCGAGAGAAGTGGAATTAATACCCTGTGGATTTTTCAACTTTGTACACCACTATCCCACCTGACAAACTTAAGGAAAAACTTAATTCCTTGATCCATGGGGCTTTTCTTACAACACGTGGTGAACACAGATACAGTTACGTATGTATATTCAGAGGTTCAGGACAATTTGTGAAAAATGAAAGCAAATGCCATCTGAAGTTTACTGAGAAAACAATATGTGAAATGCTGGACTTCCTCATTGATAATATCTACGTAAATTTTTGGTGTAAGACATATAGGCAAGAAGCAGGCATCCCTATGGGCTCCAATTGTGCTCCCTTTCTTGCGGATCTGTTTCTTTATGTATATGAATCGGAATTTCTGTTCGGATTGGCAAAGTCAAAACAAGGTAATTTGGCAAAGAAATTTAACTTTAGCTTCAGGTACTTCGATGATCTGATATCGTTCAATGACAATCAAATAGCCCATTCCCCTCCACTGATTTACTCACCTGAACTAGAAATAAAGGAGACCAGTGAGACCGCCTCATCTGTTTCATATTTAGATCTATGCATAAATATTCAGAGTTACAAAACACTCTCCACAAGACTATGACAAGAGGGATGATTTCGACTTTCCAATAATCAATCTTCCATTCATATCCAGCAATATTCCAGCAGCTCCAGCCTTTGGTGTTTACATTGCGAAACGTTTGAGATACAATCGAGCATGCATTTCTAACAAGATTTCAAAGAGTGTCGTATGACTCTTGCTCAGAAGTTGTCCGATCAAGGTTACAATATTCAAGGCCTCAGTAAAGCAAGCTTTCAAAACAAAAAGTTTTATGATGGACATTTCCAAATTTGCCGCATCAGTGACTAAACTGATGTCCGATACAATTCCCTGTTTTGACTTGAACGATATGTTGTTAGGTGAACAATTGACTTGCCTTTGCTTGTGTTTGTGACGGGTGCCACAGTTAGGGCAGGATACGCTCACCTTTTCGCGAACGCCTGGTATCATTACTATTTGATAGTGATTCATAAACACATGCTCATGTTATAGTCGGAATCGTACAATCGACTCTGCTTTATGTAGAGATTTCTGTTGGATGTGGAAAGGGTTTTGTCGCTTTATATTCAGTCACTGGTTTCACAAGGTTCTCACAACTGTTCAGCACAATTTTAGAAGTTTGAAAATCTTTCATATCAACTATAAATTCTTGCCAATTATATTGTATGGACCTGAGGTTTGGAGTATTCAAAGGTATAAATGTTTTGCAAAAATCAAGTAACAATCATGCAAATGTTATCTACGCAGCCGCAAATCAATAACGGTTTATATTGTACTGGGGAAGGTGAGGCGAAGTGAAA